ACGGATCAGATAGGTGACGTGATACCCACGGATCAGATAGGTGACGTGATACCCACGGATCAGATAGGTGACGTGATACCCACGGATCAGATAGGTGACGTGATACCCACGGATCAGATAGGTGACGTGATACCCACGGATCAGATAGGTGACGTGATACCCACGGATCAGATAGGTGGACGTGATACCCACGGATCAGATAGGTGACGTGATACCCACGGATCAGATAGGTGACGTGATACCCACGGATCAGATAGGTGACGTGATACCCACGGATCAGATAGGTGACGTGATACCCACGGATCAGATAGGTGACGTTATACCCACGGATCAGATAGGTGACGTGATACCCACGGATCAGATAGGTGACGTGATACCCACGGATCAGATAGGTGACGTGATACCCACGGATCAGATAGGTGACGTGATACCCACGGATCAGATAGGTGACGTGATACCCACGGATCAGATAGGTGACGTGATACCCACGGATCAGATAGGTGACGTGATACCCACGGATCAGATAGGTGACGTGATACCCACGGATCAGATAGGTGACGTGATACCCACGGATCAGATAGGTGACGTGATACCCACGGATCAGATAGGTGACGTGATACCCACGGATCAGGTGACCTGCACTCTCTGCAAGGTGACCTGACTCAGCGTCATCGTTATCACCTAGGTGTTAACTAAGGTTCCTCAGTTCATATTAGGCTACATAGATCATTTCTCCCAACTACTTCTAGTTCTAATCCATTGTTTCAGTCACTCTGTTCCTCACGTTCTTCTTTTTCCACATCTTCCTTTCTTATTTGTTTCTGTCCCCTTTCTCTTCTTCTCTCCAGGCTCCTATCCTCCATCATCCTCTCTCCTCCTCCTGGTTCCTGCCATTCATCTCCTTCTGGTGCTGTATAGCCCTTGTGGCTTAGCCCTTTTTTTTATTATAATAATCTCCTTCTGGTTCCTGCCTTTCTTCTCTTCCCGGCTCCTGTTTTTTTCATTTGCTTCTCCTGGTTTCCGCCATTCATCTTCTCCTCCTGGTTTCTGCCATTCATCTTCTCCTCCTGGTTTCTGTCATTCATCTTCTCCTCCTGGTTTCTGCCATTCATCTTCTCCTCCTGGTTTCTGCCATTCATCTTCTCCTCCTGGTTTCTGCCATTCATATCCTCCTGTTTCTGCCATTCATCTCCTCCTCCTGGTTTCTGCCATTCATCTCCTCCTCCTGGTTTCTGCCATTCATCTTCTCCTCTTGGTTTCTGCCATTCATCTTCTCCTCCTGGTTTCTGCCATTCATATCCTCCTGGTTTCTGCCATTCATCTCCTCCTCCTGGTTTCTGCCATTCATCTTCTCCTCCTGGTTTCTGTCATTCATCTTCTCCTCCTGGTTTCTGCCATTCATCTTCTCCTCCTGGTTTCTGCCATTCATCTTCTCCCCCTGGTTTCTGCCATTCATCTTCTCCTCCTGGTTTCTGCCATTCATATCCTCCTGGTTTCTGCCATTCATCTCCCCCTCCCGGTTTCTGCCATTCATCTCCTCCTCCTGGTTTCTGCCATTCATCTTCTCCTCTTGGTTTCTGCCATTCATCTTCTCCTCCTGGTTTCTGCCATTCATCTCCTCCTCCTGGTTTCTGCCATTCATCTTCTCCTCCTGGTTTCTGCCATTCATCTTCTCCTCCTGGTTTCTGCCATTCATCTTCTCCTCCTGGTTTCTGCCATTCATCTCCTCCTCCTGGTTTCTGCCATTCATCTTCTCCTCTTGGTTTCTGCCATTCATCTTCTCCTGGTTTCTGCCATTCATCTTCTCCTCCTGGTTTCTGCCATTCAACTTCTCCTCCTGGTTTTTGCCATTCATCTTCTCCTCCTGGTTTCTGCCATTCATCTTCTCCTCCTGGTTTCTGCCATTCATCTCCTCCTCCTGGTTTCTGCCATTCATCTTCTCCTCCTGGTTTCTGCCATTCATCTTCTCCTCCTGGTTTCTGCCATTCATCTTCTCCTCCTGGTTTCTGCCATTCATCTTCTCCTCCTCCTGGTTTCTGCCATTCGTCTTCTCCTGGTTTCTGCCATTCATCTCCTGGTTCCTACCTTGCTTATTCACTTGCCATCCTGGTGCTGCTACGTGCCTTCCCTTGCTGTGAGTAGGGTGACCTTGCTGGTTATCACAAAGCTGGAACACCGCAACGTGAAGCACTGCACACATACTTCACAGGATAATTGCACAGCCTTATTACATCGATCACCTGCCCTCCGCGCACTCACCTCGGAGTGTAGGGCACGCACTCACCCGGGAGGGTAAGAGCACGCACTCAACTGAAAGGGTGGAAGCACTCACCTGGGAAAATGGACCATGCACTCACCTGGAAGGATGGGAGGATAAGATTTGAAGTGGATGGTGTGAGTTACGGGGTTGCAAGAATGCGGACGAGGAGGGGAGGGAAGAGAAGGGAGAGAGTCGAGGAACATGGCTATGCACCGAGAGGTGGTGACAAAAGGTATAAAATACAGACACGACGAAAAAATAAACACAAATGCAGTATAAAGCGATCCTTTGACTGCGTTTCGCCCACACAATGGACTTGATCACGTCACAAACAGATCTACCTGGGTGACGAGTACATGAGTATATATATATATATATATATATATATATATATATATATATATATATATATATATATATATATATATATATATATATATATATGTCGTGCCGAATATGTAAAACTGGTCAATTAGCAAGAACTCATTTAAAATTAAGTCCTTTCTGAAATTTTCTCTTATGCGTTTAAAGATGTATTTTTTTCATTAATGTTCATGCAAAAAATTTTAATTTTGCACCAAAAGATTCTTAGAAAACTTACCTAACCTTATTATAACAAGAACAATTTATTTTAGCCTAACCCAACTAAATATATTTTAAATACGTTTACAATAATTTAATACTAAACAAACACAATCAAATGTATTTTTTTCGTTAGGCTCAGAATGATTTTGGCAAAATTATTGCATACACAAATTTTCACTTGTCCTATATGGCAAGATGAACGTTGCTATTTAAGCCAAGATCGCAAGTTCTGCCTATTCGGCACGACATATATATATGTATATATATATATATATAGTGTGTGGAAAGTCAGGTGGAGAATATTGGGTAGGTTGTATTTTCAAATCCCAATAAGGGTCGCATTTTACTGTATTTGTGTTTATTTTTCCACACAGAGATGTGGTTATTTCTCACTGTATATACACAACGAGTTGATCTTTGTTAGAAACTTATGGACTAGCAACAATTCTTGATCACAGGGTTTAAATGAATTATGACCTTGATGACCCTCGTGCAGTCACAACGTGGGGCTCCCTACCAGGTTAAGAGTTTCGTGCAAAACATACGAAGAATTTTACAATGATTTTGAAGGCACACACATAATATTGGCACAAGTATACAGTACACTGTATAAAAATACCACAGTGAAAATAAGAAAAATACCTGAGTGCTTCCATGTGCTTAAACACGTATCTTCAGAGGAATAGAAAGAAGAAGCAAGAGAAACATATTATAAATGTTAAACACTGAGGTGACACCTTTGTACTCGGCTGAATAAGCCTAGTGTGTAGGCGAAACGTTTCGGAATAAGACACCTAACTGTTACACATGCGTCTTATCAACTTAGTCTGTATCATATTCACCTCACTCAACGAAGGTGACAACACCTCACACAGACTCGTCCCACGCATAAATTACTTTGATTTCTTCCATAATACATTACATAGATTTAACCTAGGATGACCCACTCAAGTCCAACACTGACATTCCCAACTGGGTTCTCTCACAGCATAAATATTAAGGCATAGTAATCACCGTGTTAAGATAACGTTTAGTTTGAAGACTAAACTTTTCCATGCCTATAGAAAATACACAAACAACCTGGGTATAAATAAGGTCAGTGTGGAGCGTAATGTGCAAGTGACCTGACCCATGTGAACAGCGGTAAAGTCTGGTGGACTGACTAAGTCATCCTTACCTCTCCACTCCTGCTGTCTCTATATTTAGTTACCTCTGTATTCGGCTGAAAAAGCCTACTACGTAGGTGAAACGTTTCGGAAATAAAGCCACGTCATCCACTGGCGGACTTACATTTTTGTGACCCTGAAGTTTGCACTGTTATTGTGTCACCTTCATAACCATGATATATGATACTTTAATAAACTTATAATTTTTATTTTAACTCTTATTTTGTATTAATTACACTATATTGTTAATATTATTATTTAAACAACCCTCTTCATACAGTAGACCCAAAATATTTAAGCAATGTGGACTACAGTGGCTTCTGAGGGCCCCTTCGGGATTAGGGGCCCTCAAGCTTAAGCTTCATTAGTTTCATAGTAGATCCGCCCTGACCTCATCGATATATACAATACCGACAAGATGAAGAATTAGACACATGTACAACTTCTGGGTATCTTTATTTGAAGACGTTTCGCCATCCAGTGACTTTATCAATACAATACAATGGTATAATGTGAAGACTGTAGAGCTATATACAAAAGGTGAGGTAATCAGTCCCTCAGTCTTAGAGCTGGTGAAGAGCACCGTAGTCTTGAAGAATATAAAGCACAGACCAAGCTTCAGCGTCAGGTGAGGAACGTGCATGACTGTGCTTCACTAACTCCAAGGCTGAGGGACTCATCACCTTATCTTTTATATATAATTTTCCATTTCCAAAATTATGTCCTTGTATTGATAAAGCCACTGGTTGGCGAAACGTCTACAAATAAAGATACCCAGATGTTGCACATGTGTCTAATTCTTTACCTCATTGATATACATGTGTCTTACTCATCTATTTGTCTGTTTGAAAAGACACATTCTCTCTCTCTCTCTCTCTCTCTCTCTCTCTCTCTCTCTCTCTCTCTCTCTCTCTCTCTCTCTCTCTCTCTCTCTCTCTCTCTCTCTCTCTCTCTCTCTCTCTCTCTCTCATGACCACCTATTATTGCAGATGTGGTGTTGCCCTACGTGCCAGATCCACTCTTCAACATCGATCTCCAACTCGACTCTGACGATGATGATGATGTTTACCAGTCTGCCCCAGAGCCCTACCCAGATGACATGGGTACGTCCTTAAACCCATCCTTGTTGTGGACACAGGTGGGTCCTTATACTAATCCTTGTTGTGGACAAAGGTAGGCCCCTTATACCCATCCTTGTCGAGGGTCCAAGGGGCCCTCATTTCCTCTCAGTAAGCGGTGAACTCTGTCAGCCTAACCTGGTAGTTTTCAGTACGATTTTGAGGGTATTTCTAGCTCACTAAGAAATGTATATCTCTCACTGTATATACACAGAGAAGTGTATATCTCTCATTGTATATACACCGAGAAGTATACAGTATATATCTATATATACACCGAGAGATATACCATATATGTCTAAGTATATACACCAAGAGCTGTATATAGGAAGGAACTTTAGGCGACATTTCGCTCCGTCCTCGTTTCCCATCATCAGTCCAAGACCGATGATAATATTAATACCAATACTGATATAATAATAATAATTAAAATATATTGTGATTTTTATTCTTTTTTTTAATCTTTGTCAGATCCAACACCAGTGATCCCACTGGCGGCTGCCCAGCCGCCAGTGACGCCGCCACCGCCGCTCACTCCGTCACCGCCACCGCCGGAAGACACGGCGTGGGTGCCTTACGATAAGTCGACAGCTGCTAGCCTGCCCCAGCCGACTCGAACCTCTGATCCCTTTGACTTCTATATCGACTGTATAAGGTTCCTGCCTGATAACGTCTCCCACTGCAAGGTGTGTCACCCTTATCATCATTATTATCATTATAATAGTAATAATAATAATAATAATAATAATAATAATTACTAGTACTACTAATAATAATAATTAATAGTAATAATAATAATAATAATAATAATAATAATAATAATAATAATAATAATAATAATAATATAATAATAATAATAATAATAATAATAATAATAATAATAATAATAATAATAATAATTGTTCTACATGAGTTTTATAATCATTATTATTATTATTATTTAAAAAAAGCTCTAATTCAAATGGGTCATGCAATACAGGATCAAAAGTGATGCCCAGCAACTGGTCAAGCAACACCTGTTTCCCACTACCTGTTCTTCTAGCACAGGTAGTGGCTACTACCTGTTCCTTTGGCATACCCATAGTGTGGGTGGTAGTCACTCCATACCCATGGTATGGTGTTAGTCACCCCATACCCATCATGTGGGTTATAGTCACCCCATACTCACCCTTTGGGTGGTCAAAAGATTACAGAAGCACATAATGAGTCCAGGGATCGGGTACCAATATATTAAAAGCTAAGTTACAGTGGTAATGAACTATTTGCATAGGTGATGATCTGGTTACAGTCGTTATGAGTAATACAAACATGAATTCAGAAAAATAACTATTATAAAGTACGTGTGGTAGTGAGTTCTGTATGATACAGGTAACGGGGGAGATCGTCAACATGTATACGTCGAAGGAGAAGCGTGATTCAGACATAGTGGCCTTTCCTCAGTTCGACTCCTCCTCCTACTGCCCCTCCTTCAGGTGGGTCCTTCTACTGCCCCTCCTTCAGGTGGGTTCTTCTACTGTTCCTCCTTCAGGTGGGTTCTACTGCCCCTTCTCGAGGTGGGCTTTACTACCGCTCCTTCGGGTAGGGTCTACTGCCCCTCCTTCAGGTAGGTTCTACTACTACCCCTCCTTCAGGTAGGTTCTACTACTACCCCTCCTTCAGGTAGGTTCTACTACTACCCCTCCTTCAGGTAGGTTCTACTACTACCCCTCCTTCAGGTAGGTTCTACTACTACCCCTCCTTCAGGTGGGTTCTTCTACTGCCCCTCCTTTAGGTGGGTTCTACTACTGCCCCTCCTTCAGGTGGGTTCTGCTGCACCTCTTTTAGGTGGGTTCTACTGCCCTCCTTCAGTTGGGTCTCACTGCCCCTTCAGGTGGTGAACAGGTGATATACAACCTTAGTAACCCTCGTGTAATTGATAGGCTTTAAACTCCCATTAACCAACCAACCTCCATCACTCGCTGTCACTTTCACAGTCACTCTCACTCGGTCACTTTCACTCATTCACTCACTTTCAGATACTCAGAATAGCCTCTTAACCAATTATACATTTTTACGTATAATTTTTTGACAGTGAATTTTGTTAAGCTACTTTTTATATCACTTCTTAAAGTGTAATTAATGTTAACAGTGTCATTATTGTTAACAGGTTCAAGATTCGTCTTAATAATGAACGTATAGTGCTCAACCCAAAGATGATCATCATGCTGCGTGTGTACGGCTACCAGAGTCACCGCCAGTAAGTGTACATGTTTGTGTGTGTACTCGCCTATTTGTGGTTGCAGGGGTCGATTCATAGCTCCTGGCCCCATCTCTTCATTGATCGCTACTAGGTCCTCTCTCTCCCTGCTACATTAGCTTTATCATACCTCGTCTTAAAACTATGTATGGTTCCTGCCTTCACTACTTCACTTGCCAGACTATTCCACTTCCTGACGACTCTGTGACTAAAGAAATACTTCATAACATCCCTTTGACTCATCTGAGTCTTCAACTTCCAATTGTGACCCCTTGTTTCTGTGTCCCCTCTCTGGAACATCCTGTCTTTGTCCACCTTGTCAATTCCTCGCAGTAGTTTGTATGTTGTTATCATGTCTCCCCTAACCCTTCTGTCCTCCAGTGTCATCAGGCCAATTTCCCTTAACCTTTCTTCGTAGGACATTCCCCTTAGCTCTGGAACTAGTCTTGTTGCAAACCTTTGCACTTTCTCCAATTTCTTGACGTGCTTGATCAGGTGTGGGTTCCAAACTGGTGCTGCATACTCCAGTATGGGCCTGACGTACACGGTGTACAGTCTTAAATGATTCCTTACTGAGGTATCGGAACGTTTTTCTCAGGTATGCCAGGCGCCCATATGCTGCATCAGTTATCTGGTTGATGTGCGCTTCAGATGTGCTTGGTATTATACTCACCCCAAGATCCTTTTCTTTGAGTGAGGTTTGAGGTCTTTGGTAACCTAACCTATACTATGTCTTCTTTGCCCTTCCTTGATCTTCATGATTTTGCATTTGGCGAGGTTAAATTCGAGGAGCCAATTGCTGGACCAGGCTTGAAGCCTGTCCAGGTCTCTTTGTAGTCCTGCCTGATCCTCATCCTATTTAATTCTTGTCGTTAACTTCACATCATCTGCAAACAATGACACTTCTGAGTCTATCCCTTCCGTCATGTCATTCACATGTACCAAAAATAGCACTGGTCCTAGGACTGACCCCTGTGGAACCCCGCTTGTCACAGGCGCCCACTCTGACACCTCGTCACGTACCATGACTCGTTGTTGCCTCCCTCTCAGGTATTCTCTGATCCATTGCAGTGCCCTTCCTGTTATGCGTGCCTGATCCTCTAACTTTTGCACTAATCTTTTATGAGGAACTGTGTAGAAGGCCTTCTTGCAGTCCAAGAAAATGCAACCTACCCACCCCTCTCTCTCGTGTCTTACTGTGTGTGGTGTGTGTGTGTGTGGTGTGTGTGTGTGATGTGTGTGTGATGTGTGTGTGATGTGTGATAAGATAAGATTTTTCGTTCGGATTTTTAACCCCGGAGGGTTAGCCACCCAGGATAACCCAAGAAAGTCAGTGCGTCATCGAGGACTGTCTAACTTATTTTCATTGGGGTCCTCAATCTTGTCCCCCAGGATGCGACCCACACCAGTCGACTAACACCCAGGTACCTATTTGCTGCTAGGTGAACAGGACAATAGGTGTAAGGAAACGTGTTGAAATGTTTCCACCCGCCTGGAATCGAACCCGGACCCTCCGTGTGTGAAGCGGGAGCTTTAGCCACCAGGCCACCGGGCCTGTGATGTGATGTGTGTGTGTGGTGTGTGTGTGTGGTGTGTGTGTGCGTGTGTGTGTGGTGTGTGTGTGTGTGGTGTGTGTGTGTGGTGTGTGTGTGGCGTGTGTGTGGTGTGTGTGTGTGGTGTGTGTGTGTGTGGTGTGTGTGTGTGGTGTGTGTGTGGTGTGTGTACTCACCTAATTGTGGTTGCAGGGGTCGATACACAGCTCCTGGCCCCGCCTCTTCATTGATCGCTACTAGGTCCTCTCTCTCTCTCTGCTTCCAGAGCTTTGTCATACCTCGTCTTAAAGCTATGTATGGTTCCTCTGTGTGTGTGTGTGTGTGTGTGTGTGTGTGTGTGTGTGTGTGTGTGTGTGTGTGTGTGTGTGTGTGTGTGTGTGTGTATGTGTGTGTGTGTGCGCGCATGTGTTCTACTTCCACACACAAAATCCCACAAGTCTCCCTCACCATGTTCAGGAACGTTGGGATCGTTGGGTCGTGCCTCCTGCAGGTGTTCAACACTTCCAAGACCCCGCCCGTATTGCGTGTGGGCGGAGTGCAGCGCCGCCTGCGTCAAGGCCTCCCAATCCCGCCCCAAGGCATGGAGAAACTTCATGTTGCAGACATGGATGACAAAGATCCCATCCCCGGCGTCTCCATCTGCGTCAGACTCCTTCCAGCGTCAAAGGTGGCGTATTGATGCCACAGCCTCGTCATAGTCTCTCTCTCTCTGGATTGTTAAGTGGTTGAGATGCTTTCTGTATGAGTTATAAATCTTACCTTTCTTCCCCGTGACTGCAATTCTTTTTTTAACGTGGTGGATCAGACTTGATGTATGCTGCCTTTAGTAGGTGATTGTTCAGGTAATGTCACTTCTACTTTGGTGCAATATACCTGCTTACCAGCAGTGCCCCAGTAGTAATTGATACCTGTGGTGTAGACTGGAGTGAAGTATTTACCTACTTACCAGCAGTACCCCAGTAGTAATTGATACCTGTGGTGTAGACTGGAGTGAGGTATGTACCTACTTACCAGCAGTACTCCAGTAGTAACCGGTTACTAGACATAATGTTCCAGCAGGAGACAGTGGAGGCACCGGCCTACGAGTCTGGCTACTACAAGAGTGACGAGTGTCAACCCACGGGCAGTGAACGTCAGCTCTTCCGACACTACATGCAAAAGGACGACTTCACGTACGTGCATCTCACTGCTCCATGTTGTTAAATGTGGAGTCTTAAATGTATATTTCGAAATTTATATTGACAAATGTATGTTGTTAAATGTTTGGATAGATGTACTTCATGAAGATCCAGAACGAAGCTAGGTTATTTGGTCACTGTTCCAGTTACGTTATTGTGAAGTGAATTCTTGCTAAATGTATCAGTATATTGTATGGTGATGAATATTTAATGCATGTTTAACTATTCAGTGCATTACTGTGTTATTCAATGTAGGATTTTATTTATACATTGTATAGCATATTCTTCGATTTACGCTGGTTACGAGGACATTGATAGGATAGCACTCATATATGTATTACATTATGTAGAATTAAACTAGGATGAGTTAATGAAGTAAAAGAATGTAACTTGTTGGTGTGTGAGGGCAGGAGCAGTACGGTGAAGGAAAACGTGAAGGAGGCGCAGGCGGCGGCAGGCGTAGCTGAGTCTAAAACTACTAATCATCTGCAGGTGAGTGAGCACCCCGGACACACTCTTGTTACTCACTCGTCATCCATGACACACTTATTACTCAGTGATTACAGGCTCACACACACACACACACACAAACAAACACCAGGAGCTGTGAATCGACATCAGCAACAACATATACCCAGATGATACCCAGGATGCCCAGGATAATTGACTGGATGGACAAGTAAAGATTAACTTGGGCGGGCGCAAAACGAGGAAGCAGGAAAAAAAATAAGCATAAATGAGTGAAAGGAATGACAGAAAGAATGACAATACAGTAGTAAAGAACAGGAAGAAACTGTAAAGCAGGCAGTATAGACAAACTTAATGTAGACATTCAAAAATAGATATGATAGAACCCAAAGCGGGGATTCCAGGAGCAATGGCTATACCCTTGCCTGTGGTCAAGGCGTTTGGGATTACTTCTCAGATGAATATCTCAGAAAAACGATGAGCCTCTACAAGCGCACCTAGGCAAGTACACCTAACACACAGCTTCTTAAGTTTATTATGCATCCTAAGACCTTCAAGGTTCTTGATGCTGGTGAAGGGCTCTTGATCCGGAGAATTACAACTACTCTCCTAATCCTTGGATCGAATCTGATTTTCTCCCATTGGCCTGGCACTCTGTAGCCACTACATCCTGTGAGCTTGTCAAAAGAATACAATGATACATAATGAGTTCAGGGACTGGGCCTAACTTTTTGACAAATAAGTTACAGTGGTAATGAACTATTTTCAAATTTATGAACTGGTAACACTCGTAATGAGTTACTCGACCAATGGCTCTTCTTGCATGACAGAATGATGTAAACTTATGGGTCTTCCTGCATGACAGAATGATGTAAACTTATGGCTCTTCCTGTATGATAGAATGATGATTCCTGACTAACCCATATATTTTTACCTTGCAGCGGTATATGGAGGAGACCCTAGATTGGCGGACACAGCAAAAGAAAACCAATCTTCCTCCGCCAGACCTTGATTTTATTCACTATGTTCATTACGACATCAATGTGGGCTTGAAGGCAATGGTGCTTGGGGCTTTCAATCTTCCAGGTACAGTACACGAAGTCCTGTTATACTGCTCACGTTCAGCGTTATATTTTAGGGCGTGTTTTCTTAAGAAACCTGCTATCCCTGTTCACCTAGCAGCAGATTGGTACCTGGATGTTAGTAGACTTGTGTGGGTCGCATCCTGAGCGACAAAATTGACTTAAGAGAACAAAAAAGGCACAATACAGTGACTGGAACAATACACAAATAACCCGCACATAGGAGAGAGAAGCTTATGACGACGTTTCGGTCCGACTTGGACCATTCACAAATGATCCTAGTAGGACCGAAACGTCGTCGTAAGCTCCTCTTTCATATGTGCGGGTTATCTGCGTAAAATTGACCCAAGATGCCCGAAATGTTCTGCATAACCAGGGGCTTTCTATAGAGTACATCACTGATGTCAGCTAGGTCATTGTACGTTGTATCATGTACTTGTAGAGATAAACATTATTGTAAATGTGTTCAGCAAGGCTTCGGAAATAAGTCACCACAAATTATTTCTGTGGAAATTATATGTATGAAGTTCACAGGTACAGACCTGTATTATTGCACACACATAATTTGGGGCAGGTATAACTAAAAACATTACACTTACAATGTTAATTGCACCTCGGAGCTAGGTGGAATTTTTGGAGAGGCTAGGTCGCTACAAGCCCCTCCCCCCGTCCTTCGATACCCAAACACTCACGTAAGTTGAACTTCTAAAAATTATTAGTATATGCGGATTGTATGAGTTGAATTTTTGACCTGAACTTATGAGAGTTGCTGGGGGCCCCACAACATTTATTGTTTATTACTAGATAATATGCATAGAGAATGGAACAAATCATCTGACACTTTTTGTCTTATTCTACAATTAATTTTTTTTTTGGGGGGGGGGGAATTACTTGCAAATAAATTTTTGTGGCTCACATCCTAACACTTCCTTAACAGACAGACAGTAATACATTGGCAAATGCTACAATCTACTGTATAATTATAGGTGGCCTGGTGGCTAAAGCTCCCGCTTCACACACGGAGGGCCCGGGTTCGATTCCCGGCGGGTGGAAACATTCGACACGTTTCCTTACACCTGTTGTCCTGTTCACCTAGCAGCAAATAGGTACCTGGGTGTTAGTCGACTGGTGTTGGTCGCATCCTGGGGGACAAGATTAAGGACCCCAATGGAAATAAGTTAGACAGTCCTCGATGACGCACTGACTTTCTTGGGTTATCCTGGGTGGCTAACCCTCCGGGGTTAAAAATCCGAACGAAATCTTATCTTATCTCTTATTGATGCAAAAGTCTCCATTCCCAGACTACGCCACGTCCATTATATTCCATTTATCAGCTCTATTCTGGCCGACTCTTTTGTAATTCGCTAATATCGGAGTCCTTTACATTTAATTATTACACACTTCTCCATTTACGTCGATATGTTCCCCATTAGACCCGTTGAACCCAGACTTTTTTTCTAATACACCGCCCAGCACATTCTATCACTACGCCATATTTCGACGCCCTTCCTTCCAACCTGTCTGTTGGTTTCGAAACTTTTCCAAAAGTCACATCAACATTCAGTTACACTACGTTATATGTACCTTATTATTTGTTTGCACTACATGATTGTTTGTAAAGTAAAAGGACACAAGTGCAACTAATGTGACATTTATTGTGGCAACGTTTCGCTCTCCAGGAGCTTTATCAAGCCATTATTATTATTATTATTATTATTATTATTATTATTATTATTATTATTATTATTATTATTATTATTATTATTATTATATGAATTATACGAAAATATAAAAATTTTCCACAATTTTTTTTTGCAATTTTGTGTCTTGTCAAACTTAAGATGGACTTCACTGTATTAGTCACACAGCGCCAGGGGATTAAGAAATAATCAGGTTTGATCCGAGGGAAGGGAGGATAGCTCCAAAAGACTCGAGTCTGGAACATGTTCGTACATCATAATGGTATCAGATAAAGTCAGTTGATCAAATGAAAATGCTGGCCCACAGATGGCTCCAACTTCATCCTGTTCCCTACTTGTATGTTTCATAACAATAAAAAGGCTTTCAAATGAACTGATGTAGGTAACAGCTCTTAGCTTGTCAATAAGTTAAGAATCCTTAATTAACTTGTCAATAGCTTGTCAATAAAGTTAGGAATCCTTAGCCTAACCTTGTCAAACCCTGCACCAACAGCTCTTCACCAACATGAAGGCAGCTTCCGGGAAGAGAATGTTATTGTTGGCTCCTAGTCTTTCACCCTCACGGCAGAAATCATATTTTCCTCTTTCAAAATCCTTAAGGAACTTATAGAATCTTAGCTTTGACCTATCTTATAAATTACTACAGCAAGACAGCAGTAACTATCGTAGATAGATTACTACACAAACAATAACACAACAAACAGTAACCATCGTAGAGGCTTAGATTACCTCACCAACAATGACACAACAAATAGTAATGTACATTGTATGTGTATGTCAGTGCGGCTCCAGGTCCAATATGGCCGACAATCAACCTTGACGCTACTTGCAAAAGCTCTGTGAAATTTTAGGTACTATATGCGTTTAATAAAATAAGGAACCTTAATATAAAGAATACCTTTGATACGAAGGAAGAAAAACATAGTTAAAAGTTTACTTAGAAATGGGGTAATTAGTATGTTTATAGGGAAGCGTTAAACTTGTAGGGGCCATGTAGTGCCTTCGGAATGAAAAGTAGTCTAATTTGATCCAAGAAAGTGGAGTATTGTTCCAATTTTCTGTATCAGGAGCTTCTTATCGACATCACTGAACTTCCCATGAATATTCTTGGTTGAAATTTACAACTTTCCCTCGTTTCTGTTTCTGTTTTTTCTTTGCATTAAAGAGATGTTGTATGTTTTGAGGTTCTTGCAGTACCTCACCTTCTGTTCAACATATAGACCTTGCAGTTGTTCATTATTATATTGTTATGATTATGCGAGTCACTACCTCATACTTCACGTCATACATCATCTGCAGTATTATTCTCTGAATACATCGACACAATACCGTGACTGGAACAATACACAAACCCTCACGTAGGAGAACCAAACTTATGACGACGCTTTCAATGAAGGCAGGCGAAATTGCAGGCCTGGAAAATGTACCGAGAACTTTCACGGCACGTACAAGTACGATAAAGCACCTAAATTACTGGGAACGGTTGAGGTTCCTTGATTTGTATTCCCTGGAACACAGGCGAGAAAGATACATGATAATATACACTTGGAAAATCCTAGAAGGACTAGCCCCAAATTTGCACACGAAAATCACTCCTTGCGAAAGCAAAAGACTAGGCAGGAGATGCAAAACCCTTCCGTGAAAAGCAGGGGCACCACGAGTACGCTAAGAGACAACACATTCAATGTCAGGGGCCCAAGACTGTTTAACTGCCTCCCAGCATACATAAGGGGGATTATCAATAGACCCCTGGCTGTTTTCAAGAAGGCGCGGGACAGGCACCTAAATCAGTACCTGTCTAGCAGGGCTATGGTTCGTACGTTGGTTTGCATGCGGCCAGCAGTAACAGCCTGGCTAATCATGCCCTGATCCACCACGAGGCCTGGTCACAGACCAGGCCCCAGGGGCGTTGACCCCCGAACCCTCTCCAGGTATACTCCTCTCCAGAGCGTTTCAGTCCAGCTTGGACCATTGACTAGTTAATGGTCCAGGTCGGACTGAAATGTCGTCATAAGTGTCTTTCTCCTATGTGAGGTTAATTGGGTATTATTCTCTGTACTGGAGGTAATGATAAAGCTCTTGGTTGGTGAAACATCTCCACAATAAAGATACTCAAGTGTTGAACATGTATCTTATTTTTCTACTTGCCGGTTTTGCAAACCATTAATATATATATATATATTTTTTGTATGTGTTAGAGTATATGGAAGGACTGTACTGCCATGCGTACTGCCAGGTACTTCCTGGTGACGAGGCTGACGACCTGCCCTCCACACCTGAAGGTTACGGCCACGACCAACACTTCATCACCATGAACCCAGACTTCCTCTCCTACCAGCGCTCTCCACATTGGCTCGACGACCCTGTGGTCAGTGGCGCCACCTCCCTGTGGTCAGTTAGTATTATTGTAATGGGAGGGGAAGTGGTAAACTTCCAACTAGGAATGGGAGGCAATCAGGCTTGATCCACGGAAGGTAAGGGAAGGCTAGGTTCACTTCCCCAGCATCAAGGTGCCTCCCTTCAGGGTATACCATAGCTCTGAAATAAACTGACTGAAGGATTACAGATCCTACCATGTAAGGACGAACTGTGCGTAAAAATAAATCTTACAAGCTTATTTCAATATGATACATTGTTTATATAGAAATGGGTGACACTTGAGTGCATGTTGAAAACCCATAGTTATGCAGAGAATTTCGGGCAAGAGTTAACCTAGCTTGAGACTACAAGGGCATATTTTTGTACATGATTATAAGAAAAATTTAGTTGGGTTACAGTCTGGAGTTTACCTGGAGAGAGTTCCGGGGGAACTAGACAGCTTATGGTTGCTATTTTTTTACATTAGATGAACCAACACCACGTTTCATAAGAGTTTAGTTTAATATGTTTATTATGCACACCACACCCATCCTGTAAGTGGTAGTCAAAAGATTACAGAGGTACATAATTGGTCCAGGGACTGGACCCCAAAGTTTTGATAGCTGAGCAAGTTACAAAGGTAATGAGCTAGAGCAAGACAAATTTACATCTCAGGTTTGTGGTGCCACCGACTCACAAGAAGATTCATATCCAATACTGGGACGAGGGCAGACATTAGGCAAGTTAAACTACACCTGATGCCCTTTTTGACTGGCAGTAAGTAGGTACCTGGGTGTTAGCACACTGGGAAAGAAAACTTAAGAGCCCCTGAAAAAGTAAGCCACAGTGATTGGCTTTCTTAGGTTATCCTGGCTTGATAATTATAATCTTGTGTTAATATTTATAATCCTAGGTTAATGATCCAAATAAAATTATCTTTGTTTCTACAGACTCTGCACCCACACTACGATGAGCGGTCCATCCTGCTGGTGCAGATGTTTGGGTTCTCTCCCAAGTACAGGCCAGGGGATGGCACTTCACCTGGCACCGTCACTACCAGTGACAAGCAACCACTCATCTTCGACTACAACAAGCCACTTGCTTGGACTTGCACTCAGATTTTCGACAAGTCTGTGACACAATTTATTTTGTTACAAATATTGCTTTGTACTTCAATTATATTCATAGACAAGTGCTGATCCCTTATGCATCATACAGTGCCTGGGGTCTGGGAGGGATGGAAGGCTGTCGGGTTCGATCCAAGGAAGGAGAGGACAAGTCCAATTCCATGGATCAAGCGCCCCTTTCCAACATCAAGAAACCTTGAGGGTGCTAGTCGTTAAAAATTGCAATATGAACCCTGCTTTTTTTGATGAGCAGTATGTAGATTTCAGGGAAATAATGTTTGTAATTCATAATTGGTAGTAAGTAATTTTATTTAGGTACAGGTACATATAGGTACAATTATCATACATGTGTAACTGTAAGTTTATATAGGTACAGATACACATAAGTACAATTATCATGTATATCTGTAAGTTTATATACGTACAGGTACACATAAGTACAATTATCATACACAGTAACACGTATAAATTACATAGGATAACCGGAAAAAGTCAACGTGGCTTATTTTCATTGGGGTTCTTACAACCCAGACCCAAATGGAAATAAGTCACTTTGACTTTTTTGGGGTTATCCTAAGTAATTTACACATTTTACTTACGCATGATAATATGTATAACTGTATTTATGTACACCTGTACCTAATTAAACTTACTTAACCCTGCAGGGATGCAGTGAAAAATGGTCTCCACTGGCTACCACTATTTTCTGGTCACCCCGATGCTCTGCTTCTCTCAATGCTTAATGAACTGCCTCCAGCACACCAGGTCATCGCTAAGAACAAGTCATCCCTCAAGCCTATTGTAAGTTCTCTTTCATATTTTGTATCCTTGTGTTTATCTATTTGAAATCACTACTGCTAGTAGTACTGTCACTATATTAAAAAAAAGAAGCCTCAAACCCATATGAGTCACAGCAGTTACGAGAGTATATTCATTGCGGAGCGCTAAACCTGTAGGGGTCGTACAGAACCTAGTATTACGGAAGGGCGGGGCAGATGGCAGACCAGAGGCTTAGCTTCTCCCTACCCCCAGGCGCTGTATAATCCTCCGGGTTTAGCGCTTCCCCTTGATTATAATAATAATAATTCTCCCTACGAGTCCCGTGAGGCGGGGACTGTGGCTAGGCTTGGGGACAGTTGGTCCCAAAGATGAGGGGGTACTTGTACCTCCTCCCATGGGAGACTTAGGTCTCGAGATACTCCCCAGATAGGGAGCCAAGGCCGGGTCACCACTACTTAGAAAAGACCCGGGCCGGGAGAGTACCGGCGAATTAAAAAAAAAAAAAAAAGACTATTGTTGGTGTTCCATTTTATTATTGCATGGAGGGGGGGGGAGGATCCAAACCCATTCAGAACCTAGGCAATGGGAGGCAGTTACTTTCTAAACAAGGGGAATGATAGGTCCAGTTCATTGGATCAAGAGCCCTTTGCTGGCGTCAAGGAACCTCCCTTAAAGGGTTGGTGTTCCATCGTTAATATATCATTACCGTTCACTGGGAGAGAGGTCATGGTGGAATACGCGTGATTATTATTATTGTATTTAACAAGTGAAAGTCTGTATGGGTCCTACACCTTAGTGAATGGGAGGTAATAAGGTTTGTTCCATGGAAGAGAAATATTCACTTTTTTCAAGACACCTTCTCCCTTCTTAACTGTAGTTTGTATTTTCAGAAGCACTAAATGTGAGTAAGTTTATTCAGGTACAGGTACACATAAATACATTTACATAAATTATCATACATAGTAGCATATGTAAATTACCTAGGATAACCCATAAAAGTCAAAGTAACTTATTTCCATTGGGATCCTTCAATGTATGGAATAGTGAAGGTTTGATCCTGTCATATAATCGTGGCACATGAATCATATAGAGCTGTATCGAATCATGAAAGGGTAAAATACATGAACCCGGTTGTTAGTGCACTCAGCTCACACACTTATGATAGTAATAATAATCTTTATTTCTACTAGTAGTAGGTTGGTAGACAGCAACCATCCAGGGAGGTACTACCGTCCTGCCAAGTGAGTGTAAAACGAAAGCCTGTGATTGTTTTACATGATGGTAGGATTGCTGGTGTCTTTTGTCTGTCTCATAAATATGCAAGATTACAGGCATGTCTTGCTACTTCTACTTACACTTAGATCACACTACACATACATGTACACGTTAGGTCACACTACACATACATGTACACGTTTATTTATACACACTCATCTGAGTTTTCTTTGATTTTATCTTAATAGTTCTTGGTCTTATTACATTTCCTTTTATATCCATGGGGAAGTGGAATAAGAATCTTTCCTCCGTAAGCCATGCGTCGTCGTAAGCTTCTCTCTTTTATGTGCGGGTTATTTGTGTATCGTTCCAGTCACGGTATTGTGCCTTTTTTGTTATTTAAGCCATTCGTGTTGTAAAAGTCAACTAAAATGCCGGGAACAATGGGCTAGTAACCCCTTTTCCTGTAAAGATTACTAAAAAGAATAAGAAGAAGAAAATTTAGTCTATTATTAGTTGGAGTGTGAGCAGGGTAATATTTAGTGAAGGGATTCAGGGAAACCGGTTATTTTCATATAGTCGGACTTGAGTCCTGGAAATAGGAAGTACAATGCCTGCACTTTAAAGGAGGGGGTTGGGATATTGGCAGTTTGGAGGGATATGTTGTGTATCTTTATACGTATATGCTTCTAAACTGTTGTATTCTGAGCACCTCTGCAAAAGCAGTGATGTGTGAGTGTGGTGAAAGTGTTGAATGATGATGAAAGTATTTTCTTTTTGGGGATTTTCTTTCTTTTTTGGGTCACCCTGCCTCTGGGAGACGGCCGACTTGTTGAAAAAAAAAATTCTACTAGTGCATGTACAAGGAATTATTACAATTAGGAAAAAGCGTCCAACCCGTGGGGTTCATACAGCACCTGGGTGATGGAAGGCAGTCTAGAATTATCAAAGGAAGGCGAAGATAGGTTCATTTCTTTGGATCAAAAGCCTCTCTCCAGCATCTTGGAACCTTGAGGGGTTATTTATTATTAAGTTAATTGGGGAAGGCACTAAATCTTTGAGGATCATACAGTGCCTGTGAAGAAATTAGGTTCAAACCATGGAAAGAAAGGTAGGTCTAATCCTTTGGATCAAGAGTTTCCCTAAAGAGAATTTTTTGAGGGGTAAAAATAAAGCATTAGATCCCTAATTTCTCCCCCAAATCTTTATACACTAACAGTAACAGTAGCAGTAACAGCCTAGTTGATCAGGCCCTGGTCTGCCATGAGGCCTGGTCACAGACCAGGCCACAAGCGTTGACCCCCGGAACTCTTTCCAAGTATACTCCAGGTATACGCTGTACATAATTTCTCTCCTGGACCCCCATACAGGAGGGCCACACTTACACAGCAGGTTAGGTTCCAGGCTACTGCTGTAAAGTGAAATTTCACTGTAAAGTGTATCATAGCATTTTTTCACTTTCAAATCCATATAAAAGCCTGATAACATGTTTATACTATCATATATTATGAGCAATATCTGGAGTTTACCTGGAGAGAGTTCCAGGGGTCAATGCCCCCACGGCCCGGTCTGTGACCAGGCCTCCTGGTGGATCAGAGCCTGATCAACCAGGCTGTTACTGCTGGCTGCATGCAAACCAACGTACGAGCCACAGCCCGGCTGGTCAGGAACCGACTTTAGGTGCTTGTCCAGTGCTAGCTTGAAGACTGCCAGGGGTCTGTCGGTAATCCCCCTTATGTATGCTGGGAGGCAGTTGAACAGTCTCGGGCCCCTGACACTTATTGTATGGTCTCTTAACGTGCTAGTGACACCCCTGCTTTTTATTGGGGGGATGTTGCATCGTCTGCCAAGTCTTTTGCTTTCGTAGTGAGTGATTTCCGTGTGCAAGTTCGGTACTAGTCCCTCTAGGATTTTCCAGGTGTATATAATCATGTATCTCTCCCGCCTGCATTCCAGGGAATACAGGTTTAGGAACCTCAAGCGCTCCCAGTAATTGAGGTGTTTTATCTCCGTTATGCGCGCCGTGAAGGTTCTCTGTACATTTTCTAGGTCAGCAATTTCACCTGCCCTGAAAGGTGCTGTTAGTGTGCAGCAATATTCCAGCCTAGGTAGAACAAGTGACCTGAAGAGTGTCATCATGGGCTTGGCCTCCCTAGTTTTGAAGGTTCTCATTATCCATCCTGTCATTTTTCTAGCAGATGCGATTGATACAATGTTATGGTCCTTGAAGGTGAGATCCTCCGACATGATCACTCCCAGGTCTTTGACCTTGGTGTTTCGCTCTATTTTGTGGCCAGAATTTGTTTTGTACTCTGATGAAGATTTAATTTCCTCGTGTTTACCATATCTGAGTAATTGAAATTTCTCATCATTGAACTTCATATTGTTTTCTGCAGCCCACTGAAAGATTTGGTTGATGTCCACCTGGAGCCTTGCAGTGTCTGCAATGGAAGACACTGTCATGCAGATTCGGGTGTCATCTGCAAAGGAAGACACGGTGCTGTGGCTGACATCCTTGTCTATGTCGGATATGAGGATGAGGAACAAGATGGGAGCGAGTACTGGAGTACTGTGCCTTGTGGAACAGAGCTTTTTACCGTAGCTGCCTCGGACTTTACTCTGTTGACGACTACTCTCTGTGTTCTGTTAGTGAGGAAATTATAGATCCATCGACCGACTTTTCCTGTTATTCCTTTAGCACGCATTTTGTGCACTATTACGCCATGGTCACACTTGTCGAAGGCTTTTGCAAAGTCTGTATATATTACATCTGCATTCTTTTTGTCTTCTAGTGCATTTAGGACCTTGTCGTAGTGATCCAATAGTTGGACAGGAGCGACCTGTTCTAAACCCATGTTGCCCTGGGTTGTGTAACTGATGGGTTTCTAGATGGGTGGTGATCTTGCTTCTTAGGACCCTTTCAAAGATTTTTATGATATGGGATGTTAGTGCTATCGGTCTGTAGTTCTTTGCTGTTGCTTTACTGCCCCCTTTGTGGAGTGGGGCTATGTCTGTTGTTTTTAGTAACTGTGGGACGACCCCCGTGTCCATGCTCCCTCTCCATAGGATGGAAAAGGCTCGTGCTAGGGGCTTCTTGCAGTTCTTGATGAACACGGAGTTCCATGAGTCTGGCCCTGGGGCAGAGTGCATGGGCATGTCATTTATCGCCTGTTCGAAGTCATTTGGCGTCAGGATAACATCAGATAGGCTTGTGTTAACCAAATTCTGTGGTTCTCTCATAAAAAATTCATTTTGATCTTCGATTCTCAGTCTGGTTAGCGGCTTGCTAAAAACTGAGTCATATTGGGACTTGAATAGCTCACTCATTTCCTTGCTGTCATCTGTGTAGGACCCATCTTGTTTAAGTAGGGGCCCAATACTGGATGTTGTTCTCGACTTTGATTTGGCATAGGAGAAGAAATACTTTGGGTTTCTTTCGATTTCATTTATGGCTTTTAGTTCTTCCCACGATTCCTGACTCCTATAAGATTCCTTTAGCTTAAGTTCGATGCTTGCTATTTCTCTGACCAGTGTCTCCCTACGCATTTCAGATATATTGACCTCTTTTAGCCGCTTTGTTATTCTTTTCTGTCGCCTGTAAAGGGAGCGCCTGTCTCTTTCTATTTTACATCTACTCCTCCTTTTTCTTAGAGGAATAAGCCTTGTGTATACATCGAGTGCCACCAAGTTAATCTGTTCTAGGCATAAGTTGGGGTCTGTGTTGTTTAGTATATCTTCCCAGCTTATATCAGTTAGGACTTGGTTTACTTGGTCCCACTTTATGTTTTTGTTATTGAAGTTGAATTTGGTGAATGCTCCCTCGTGACTAATCTCATTATGTCGGTCTGGGGCTCCACGCATACATGTCTGAACCTCAATTATGTTGTGATCTGAGTATATTGTTTTTGATATGGTGACATTTCTTATCAGATCATCATTGTTAGTGAAGATGAGGTCTGGTGTATTCTCCAGTCTAGTAGGCTCTATTATTTGCTGGTTTAAATTGAATTTTGTGCAGAGATTTAAAAGCTCATGTGAGTGAGTTTTCATCAGAGCTGCCTCCTGGTGTTATTACTGCAACAATATTATTTGCTATATTCCTCCATTTTAAGTGCCTTAAGTTGAAATCCCCCAGGAGCAAGATGTTGGGTGCAGGAGCTGGAAGATTTTCCAGTCAGTGGTCAATTTTTAACAGCTGTTCCTGGAATTGCTGGGATGTTGCATCCGGAGGCTTGTAGACTACCACAATGACTAGGTTTTGGTTCTCGATCTTTACTGCTAAAACTTCCACTACATCATTTGAGGCATTAAGCAGTTCTGTGCAAACAAGTGACTCTGCAATGTACAGGCCAACCCCCCCCTCCCCTTTTGCCTGTTCACTCTGTCACATCTGTATAGGTTGTAACCTGGGATCCATATTTCGTTGTCCAAGTGATCCTTTATGTGGGTCTCAGTGAAAGCCGCGAACATTGCCTTTGCCTCTGCAAGCAGTCCACGGATGAAAGGTATTTTGTTGTTTGTTGCTGGCTTTAGACCCTGTATATTTGCAAAGAAGAATGTCATCGGACTGGTGGTATTGTTGGTACTGGGAGGGGGGATTTTTTTTCCGGCATTAGTATCTGTATCTGTTGGTTTGGAGTGGAGGCCATCGACTGTGATTCCACTCCAGGAATGACTGGATTTGGTGTACGATTTCTGCCATTTCCTGCCAGTTTTTTTTTCCTTCCTGGCACTAAAAAACCTCTCCCTCTTGAGTGGCTGCGGCTACCCAGGTTTTCCCATGGCCTGGATGTTTTGTATCTTTTTGTCCCCTTTAGATGGTGTGCCTGGCAATTTAAGTTATAGCACAGTCTTTCCTGTACTGAAGAGGTACACATTTCAGGGTGAAAAAGCTTACAGGAAGGGAGTTTGCATTTTCCTGTTGTCATATGGGCACGGCATTTTCTAGGGTGGTCATAGTTGCATGTCCCGTCTGTTTTTCCAGATTTCCCATGCCTGCAGATACCAAGTGCATAGTATGTGCACAGGCTTGGTTTCCGTTTGCCTTGGGTTTCTGCGACTGTATTCCCTGTTGGTGCATACTTCCCTGTCTTACTTCTATCCTCCCTAGCACCAACAATGGAGCTCCCACCAGTTGTTTTTGGTAATATATTCTCACTGTTGCTAGTGGAGTCCTCTTGTTTGCTATTTCCTGTGGTATTTCTAGTTTGCAATATTGGTTTTATCTTATCTTTGACTACACTTGTTTCCCCACTACGGCTCCTGTCCCCTATGAGGTCATTTATATGTATTCCTTCCTGCATAAAATTCCTGACTACCTGGACAAAATCTCCAGCTTCACCATTACTGTCTCCCAGGACAGCACCTCCCGCTTCACCATTACTGTCTCCCAGGACAGCACCTCCAGCTTCACCATTACTGTCTCCCAGGACAGCACCTCCAGCTTCACCATTACTGTCTCCCAGGACAGCACCTCCAGCTTCACCATTACTGTCTCCCAAATGCATATACAGTACACACAGTACTTACCTTAAAATATTTTTGTCCTTAGCTTTTAATGAGTGGTGAATATATTTATTGTAGGAAGTCTGAATAAATGAAGAAATGGTATACCTGGAGTTTACCTGGAGAGAGTTTCGGGTATCAGTGAAACTCTGCGAAGCGAAGCACTGTAAACCTGGGATCCCCTGTATACAATTATTGACAGTTACAATTTACTGTACAGTTAATGACAATTGCACATGATGTATGCTTGCCTAAGTTTTTGATTCACTTCTTTTCCTGTAGGACGGAGCATCCATCGAGATAAAGACATGTGATGGCCACCTCAACATTCTGGATATTAAAGAATGTCAACTGGAAAAAATGATGGATGCTGTGGGCCAGAGATCACAGTGCTCAGCTGGACTAATAAAAACTTTCCCAAGGACTGTGGATGAGGTAAGTGTCAACACTTATTATTGCAGCATTGTAACCATAGGTAAACACTAAACTCACAGGGATCATAGAGCACTTAGGGAATAGGAGGTAATCAAGTTTGATCCAGGAGGGGAAGGGTAACTCATTTCCAAGGATCAAAAGCCCTTCATAATAGTTCAAATTTTATGAAGATTAGCATTACTGCTTTTATGGGAGGTGAACAGCTTTGATACAAGGGAAGGATAGTTCCAGTTCTTTGGTTCAAGTGACCTTCACTAGCAAGATGGGAACATTCTCCATGGGCAAAAATATAACTCTCCTTTCGTCTCTTTCCTTCCTTGGTAACATTACTTTCTTCATTACAGTTTTACAAAAAGAGCATGAACAAGTCCAGGGGAAACAAAGACCAAGAAAGAGAAGTCTTTGAGCAAGCAGCAAACGCAGTATTTTTCAACGCTATGGTTAGTATATTATCATTATTACACGCATGGGGAAGTGCTGAACTCGTAGGGGACATACAGTATAGCATTTGGGGAATTGAAAGTACATAAAGTTTGACTGGAAAAAAGGGATTGAAGCACCTATTCCTTAGATTAGTAACCCTTTACTGGTATCAAGGCACTCCCTTGAAGGTAAAGATATATGAAAGGAGAAGAAACTAATGAAATAAATTACATTTTAGATTATGGGGGAGCACTAAACCCATAGGGATTATACAGCACCTGTGGGGGGGGGGATGGAAGGTATTCAGGCTCAATTCAGGGAACTGGAGCACAGATTCAATTCCCTAGATCAAGAGCCCCTCACCAGCATCAAGGAATCTCCCTTGAAGGGATTACATTTTAGAACATTGTACAGTGGACCCCCGCATAACGATATTAATCTGTTCCTGAGAGCTCGTTGTTATGCGAAATTATCGTTACGCGAATGAATTTTCCCCATAAGAAATAATGGAAATCAAATTAATCCGTGCAAGACACCCAAAAGTATGAAAAAAAAAATTTTACCACATGAAATATACATTTTCCTACACACAAAGAGAAGGATACATGCACAATAGTAGAGTAGTACATGCACAATATATATTGTGCATGTACTACTCTACTAAATGAAGAATAAATGACACTTACCTTTATTGAAGATGCAGCAATGACTGATGAGACACTGTGTCCTGGGAGTGCCTTTTCCTCCTGAGTACTGTAGGTCCTGTTTGGCATTTTCTTCCAGAACAGGCCTTATCACACTGTGTATGCCACTACGATTCTTAAATCTCTCAAACCAACCTTTGCTGGCTTTAAATTCACATATATGAGCACTAATTCCCGGCATTTTTCCCTGTTCACCTGGGTGTTAGTCGACTGGTGTGGGTTGCATCCTGGGAGACAAGATTAAGGACCCCAATGGAAATAAGTTAGACAGTCTTCGATGACACTGACTTTTTTGGGTTATCCTGGGTGGCGAACCCTCTGGGGTTAATTGTTTCTTGGTATTCTCAATAAGCCACACCAACAACGGTGCTACAGCAGCAGCTGACAGTGCTACAGCAGCAGCAGCTGACAGTGCTACAGCAGCAGCAGCAGCAGCTGACAGTGCTACAGCAGCAGCAGCAGACAGTGCTACAGCAGCAGCTGACAGTGCTACAGCAGCAGCTGACAGTGCTACAGCAGCAGCTGACAGTGCTACAGCAGCAGCAGACGGTGCTACAGCAGCAGCAGACGGTACTACAACAGCAGCAGCAGCTGACGGTGGTACAGCAGCAGCAGCAGCTGATGGGGCTACAGCAGCAGCAGCAGCTGACAGTGCAGCAGCAGCAGCTGACAGTGCAGCAGCAGCAGCTGACAGTGCAGCAGCAGCAGCTGACAGTGCAGCAGCAGCAGCTGACAGTGCAGCAGCAGCAGCTGACAGTGCTACAGCAGTAGCAGACGGTGCTACAGCAGCAGCAGCAGCAGACGGTACTACAGCAGCAGCAGCAGCTGACGGTGGTACAGCAGCAGCAGCAGCTGACGGTGCTACAGCAGCAGCAGCAGCTGACATTGCTACAGCAGCAGCAGCATCAGCAGTTGACCATGGTACCACAGTATTTCGATAATATTTCTCACCCTTTTTACCACAGGGTTGGCACTAGAAGCTTTCTTGGGGCCCATGGTCACTTATTTTGCAGATAAAATCACCAAAAACACTGTAATAATACGAAATGTTCCGATTGTATGCTTGGATGTTACCGCTGAGGCTGGCTGGTAAACAATGCCACCATCGGAACATGTGAGGCTGGCTCAGGCCGCACATTAGACGCGTCTCTGACGAATAGCGTTGAGTGGGTTTTTTAGCGGTTAGGTTAGGTTAGGTAAGGTTCGTCAGGAAACAGGACAAATGTTTCCTGACGCGGGTCTTAGTCAGATGATGACCCGCCTTTGGAGCTTTTGGTCATCTGACCGAGGCCTTCCGCTGGCTTACCGGTCCACCCCTTTAAAAATTATGGTCATTTATAACCTTTTTTTTTTTTTTTTAGCGGTATGCGAGGCAAAATCTTAGCGATAAAATGTATCAGTATGCGGATTTAACGTTATGTGATGCCAACGGTATACGGGGGTCCACTGTATTATGCAAACAACGTACATTGCTGAATGTAAGCCAAAAAATTTAAGTAAATTCCTTTCATAAATTAATGTTTATTGTGTATTGCCTATTTTCATATACTATTTATGCATTACAGTCATTGGTAACCATTAACACCATAGGGGTTCATACTGCACTTGAAAAATGGGAATCATTTAGGTTCAGTGATGACGACTCCAATTTCTAAGCTCGAGAGCTCATCACAGGCGTCAACACCCCATCCCCATTCATGAAGGGCCTGCCATTGTTCAGAGATTGTGTACCCTACCTTTGTACAGTTATTGTAGTGCACTGCCATTGCTCAGTGATTGTGTTGCTCTACATGGTTTGATTGCCAGTCTCATGTTCTTTGTTTCCTTCTAATTATTCTGTCTTCTAGATATGCTGCTCTTCCAACATCTGCCTTGCCCCATCCTTTCTACAGTCATTATGCATTATTGGCAATGCATAATGTCACTGATATAAAACAAAAGTTTTTCAGTGCAGTACCCTGCTAACAAAAATATGTAGTATAATGTAAACACTATTAGGTTAGCTAAAACTGGATTATTATTATTATATTCACAGAAAAGTACTAAACCTGTAGGGATCATACAATACTTGTGGAATGGTTTTACATATAGGTTTGACCCAAGGGGATTATTATTATACTCGTGGAGAAGTGCTAAACCCATAGGGACCATACAATGCCTGGGTACTGGGAGGTAATCAGGTTTGATCTGAGGATAAGGTTTATTATTAGATTCAAGGAAAGTGTTAAACCCATAGTGTCATACATGTTCCTGGGAAATGAATCATATTCAGGTTTGATCCATGCAGAATTATTACTCATGGGGAAGCCCTATTATTGTTATTATTATTATATTTAAGGGGAAACACTAAACCCATAGGGATCATGCAGTGCTTGGGAAATGGGAGGCATTTGGGTTTAACCTCAAGAAGGAAAGAATACAGTATAGGTATAATTCCCTGGGTCAAGGGCCCTTCATCAACATCATCATAACTAAAGGTCATGCAGTTCACCAGTATCAAGGCATCTTTAAGGAGAGGGAAGTAATAAACTTAAGTTGTACAGCATATGGGGAATATAACACTGATTGATCAGGTTTTATCCAAGATTATTTAATTTGTTGGGCAGCACTAAACTCTTGTGGGTTATATATTATTATTATAATCAAAAAGAAGCACTAAGCCACAAGGGCTATACAGCTGTGGGTTATATAGTGCTTAAGGAATGGGAGGTAACCAGGTGCCTTTTGCTGAAATCAGGGCACAACCTTTAAATGGGTTGTATAGTGTACTGTATTTTGGATGTATAAGTTTTTTTACACAGCCCTTTCCCATCAAGATAGGGTGACCCCCCAAAAATTACCACATTAACCATCACTCATTCAATAATTGTTTTACCAGATGTGCACAGACATCACAGTTCAAATGACTTCCTGAACTGCAGCATCACCTCTCCTTTCACCTCCAGGACTCAAGTCCAGCTAATCAGTTTCAACAGAAAATCAAGGCATAATAATCAGTCTTCACACATTCTGATGTAACAGTCTCACATGAGCCCCTTTCACTCAAAAGCTCCTTTACCCCCATCTCCCTCCAGTACTTCCTAGGATGATCCCTACCTCTCCTTCCTTTCTTGATCTTCGTATTCTGCTCCATTCTCTTTAAATGCCCAAACCACCTCAGCAACCAATCCGTGATATGTTAGATTATTTTTCACTTATTTCTGTTAATAGCAAAAGCATTTTTTTGTTGCAACAGAATGAAGCGCTGGAAGAAGCTGGTTATACTGCTCTACCTACCGACTCTTAAGTCATTACCTACTGACTTGTAAGTGAGAGTAACCTATATAACATATTATTGCATATCAAAATGTATTCTGAACATCGAATAAAATCAGAAGTACGTATTTAGTACAGCACTTTCTTTTTCCTTTATTATAATCATGGTGAAATGCTAAACCTGTAGGTTATACAGCATCTCAAGAAAAGGAAGTAAAGAACTTTTCATCTGAAATGATGCTCCTTGAAGAGTAGTGTATGAAGAATATAGAACTATTGTAGAGTGCATATCTTTTTAAGATGAGGTTCGTGATACTGGCCGAGGGCTCTTGATCCAAAGAATTGGAACTACCCTTCCTTGGATCAAATCTGAGTACCTAGTTCTCTAGATGTTCTATAGCCTCTTACAGGTTTAGTATTTTCCCTAGGAATATTTAAATAATAAGACCTGTTGCAATGTGAGCAGGGTAATATTTTGTGAAGGGATTCAGGGTAACCGGTTAGCTGGACTCGAGTCCTGGAAATGGGAAGTACAATGCCTGCACTTTAAAGGAGGGGTTTGGGATATTGGCAGTTTGGAGGGACTTCTAAACTGTCATATCTGAGTGCCTCTGCAAAGACAGTGATTATGTATGAGTGATGGCGAGTGTTGAATGATGATGAAAGTTTTTTTTTCTTTCTTTTTGGGTCACCCTGCCTCGGTGGGATACGGCCGGTTTGTTGAAAGATATATAATAATAATAATACTAATGTACCATTTAAGCCAGTGTGTGTTTAGGGGAAAACTGTAGTATGGTATATTTATAACTGGTTTCAAGGGCTCAACTATTCTAGCTGTTTGGCCAAACTTCTCGATGTCCTGATCAACTAAGCCATTGCTGCTAGCAGCTTGTAGGCCTACACAGTCATCATAATCTGGCTTTGGGTACTTTGAACAGGTAGTGATCTAGTTTTCCCTTTTTTATTTACAAATGATTGGGCATTATTTCTTACATATGTAGCCCATGGCTGGTTACAGTGTTCTCTAACTGTGGCTATAGTAACCCTGCTTTTCAATACTCTAAGGTCAATTGCAAAAAAGCAATAACAAATATAATTTTTAATACAAAATCATAAAAAATTATCCTTTTCAGCCAATAGGTCAATAGGCTAAATTATTAATTTTTTAAGCACAGCACTGTATATATATCTGAATACATAATATAAAGAAAGCAGTTCAAGTACTTAGGTTGAGTTAGGAAGAGAAGTGAATGCTATCACAGCAAGCAATAGTACTGTAGTCCAAAGATAGTTTCTTAAAAAATCCCTGAAATAATTTAAAAAACCGGAATGGTATGATATCCACAGCTGCTGAGTACACAATAAATTAACATTCAGAGGCATCCTTAGTACACCCATAAACTAATGAATAATAATTTACTCTGTAAACATAACTCTTATTTTAAAATCAAAGAGCCCTTAAGCACATAATTATATTTTACCAAAAAGCACCTATAAAACTTTTCACAGATTGAATGTTTTAATGTATTGTATATTGGCCCTGTACACAATTCTTATTTATCTTATATAATAAAATAATAGAAATCATTCTCTCAGATACAGGATGCCCTTGAGATCTGACAAGAACTTTGACCTAGAAAATTACTCAAGTGCCACTGCTCTGTAATACACTATGAGAAAGGTAAAAAAAAAAAAAATGCTTAAAGCCACTGTTTAGTAAGAAATTTTAAATTTACAACCTCAAGTCATGATGCTTGACTATTTATCAACACATTTAAAGAGCTTTCATTTGTGCCATAAGATCATCTAGACTTGTATCATCAGCATCATCCACTACTTTGCTTGTAGCTTCATCAACTGGGGCAGGTCTCTCATATGCCACAGTGATGCCCTGAACAAGACTCGGTACTGATGCACAAGCTGAGCTGCTGGCTTCCTCTGGAGTTGCCTCGTCAACCAAACAAATGCCTGCAACACGATATGATTTCTTACAGTAATAGTCTGCATTAATGCCAATATGATATAATTCCTATTAATAATAATTTGTTGCTAACTCCCTTTTCATTCTGTGCTGCATGACTTAAGGGTTTAGCACTTAATTTGATAATAATAAGAATGACTTTCACATGAGGATCAGACTGGGGTATGTAAGAGAGAGGGAAACTATCTTCCAGTAGAAGTTAGACCTTAGACAGGGTTGAGTCAAAATGCTCCAGTTATACCTTGCTATTGTATAGACACGCTTGCAGTTACCAACCAGAACAAAAGAATTGGAGGTCCTCTTACACTAGTTTTTATTAAATCCTCTTATATATATATTTTTTAGCATAATGGCCATCTCCTGCCAAAGCAAAGTGGCTCAAAGAAGAAAACACATTCACCAACACTCATTCAAGCACTATCTTTTCAGAAATGTGCTGACATCACAATCAGATTATTCTCCAACTGCAACATCCCCACCCCTCCTTCTGAGTGCAGGCCCTGCCCTTCCTACTTCCATGCCTCAAGTACAGCTAACCAGTTTCCCTAAATCCCTTTGTAGCATTTACCCTTGTACTTATAAACTAAATTCTTAACTGAGGTAGTGGTAGTCACATTTTCATACTAATGGGTTTTGGGGGGGGGGGGGCAGGAATAAGAGTACAAAATTGAAACCACTTGATAGAGAGGAAGAGGAATACTTAGATTATATTTTTGAATGTAGGAACATGACTTGACTATTACTACACTTAGGATATACAGTGGAACCTCGACTTATGAGTGTCCCAACATATGAGTTTTTCAAGATGTGAGCTATCGCTCGGTCAGTTTTTTTGCTCTGAGTTATAAGCCAACATCAGAGTTACGAGCGAGCTTCCCCAGCTTCCCCCTCAACCCACAACTTGCACACCTCGCTTGTTTATGATTTCATGCTTTAATTTCGTTGACATCATCCTCTTTTTCTTCTCAGCACTGTCCTTTGCACTTATTTTCTTAGGACCCATGATTAGAAAAAAGAAATTTGGCAAAATAAGTGCGCAAAATGCAAGGAAAACACAAGAGAAATGCTTCCATGGCGAGGTAAAAAGTGCACTGAGCTGGCGGCGTTCTGAAGCTCTCTCGTTATTATTATTACGTATGTTTATAGGGTGTGCAAAAGAAGAAAATTAAAGGTGAATACAGGAAAGAGTAAGGTTATGAGGATAACAAAAAGATTAGGTGATGAAAGATTGAATATCAGATTGGAGGGAGAGAGTATGGAGGAGGTGAACGTATTCAGATATTTGGGAGTGGACGTGTCAGCGGATGGGTCTATGAAAGATGAGGTGAATCATAGAATTGATGAGGGAAAAAGAGTGAGTGGTGCACTTAGGAGTCTGTGGAGACAAAGAACTTTGTCCTTGGAGGCAAAGAGGGAATGTATGAGAGTATAGTTTTACCAACGCTCTTGTATGGGTGTGAAGCGTGGGTGATGAATGTTGCAGCGAGGAGAAGGCTGGAGGCAGTGGAGATGTCATGTCTGAGGGCAATGTGGGTGTGAATATAATGCAGAGAATTCGTAGTTTGGAAGTTAGGAGGAGGTGCGGGATTACCAAAACTGTTGTCCAGAGGCTGAGAAGGGTTGTTGAGGTGGTTCGGACATGTAGAGAGAATGGAGCGAAACAGAATGACTTCAAGAGTGTATCAGTCTGTAGTGGAAGGAAGGCGGGGTAGGGGTCGGCCTAGAAGGGTTGGAGGGAGGGGTAAAGGAGTTTTGTGTGCGAGGGGCTTGGACTTCCAGCAGGCATGCGTGAGCGTGTTTGATAGGAGTGAATGGAGACAAATGGTTTTTAATACTTGACGTGCTGTTGGAGTGTGAGCAAAAGTAACATTTATGAAGGGATTCAGGGAAACCGGCAGGCCGGACTTGAGTCCTGGAGATGGGAAGTACAGTGCCTGCACTCTGAAGGAGGGGTGTTAATGTTGCAGTTTAAAAACTGTAGTGTAAAGCACCCTTCTGGCAAGACAGTGATGGAGTGAATGATGGTGAAAGTTTTTCTTTTTCGGGCCACCCTGCCTTGGTGGGAATCGGCCGGTGTGATAATAAAAAAATAATAAAAAATGTTTATTACGAATGTTTTCAGATACTTGGGAGTTGACGTGTCGGCGGATGGATTTATGAAGGATGAGGTTAATCATAGAATTGATGAGGGAAAAAAGGTGAGTGGTGCGTTGAGGTATATGTGGAGTCAAAAAACGTTATCTATGGAGGCAAAGAAGGGAATGTATGAAAGTATAGTAGTACCAACACTCTTATATGGGTGTGAAGCTTGGGTGGTAAATGCAGCAGCGAGGAGACGGTTGGAGGCAGTGGAGATGTCCTGTTTAAGGGCAATGTGTGGTGTAAATATTATGCAGAAAATTCGGAGTGTGGAAATTAGGAGAAGGTGTGGAGTTAATAAAAGTATTAGTCAGTGGGCAAAGAGGGGTTGTTGAGGTGGTTTGGTCATTTAGAGAGAATGGATCAAAGTAGAATGACATGGAAAGCATATAAATCTATAGGGGAAGGAAGGCGGGGTAGGGGTCGTCCTCGAAAGGGTTGGAGAGAGGGGGTAAAGGAGGTTTTGTGGGCAAGGGGCTTGGACTTCCAGCAAGCGTGCGTGAGCGTGTTAGATAGGATGAATGGAGACGAATGGTACTTGGGACCTGACGATCTGTTGGAGTGTGAGCAGGGTAATATTTAGTGAAGGGATTCAGGGAAACCGGTTATTTTCATATAGTCGGACTTGAGTCCTGGAAATGGGAAGTACAATGCCTGCACTTTAAAGGGGGGGTTTGGGATATTGGCAGTTTGGAGGGATATGTTGTGTATCTTTATATGTGTATGCTTCTAGACTGTTGTATTCTGAGCACCTCTGCAAAAACAGTGATAATGTGCGAGTGTGGTGAAAGTGTTGAATGATGATGAAAGTATTTTCTTTTTGGGGATTTTCTTTCTTTTTTGGGTCACCCTGCCTCGGTGGGAGACGGCCGACTTATTGAAAAAAAAAAAAAATTATTATTATTAATTTAGGGAACTGGAACACAGATCCAATTCCCTAAATCAAGAGCCTCTCACCAGTGTCAAGGTTTCTTGATGCTGGTGAGGGGCTCTTGATCTAGAGAATTGGATCTGTGCTCCAGTGTGGAAATTAGGAGAAGGTGTGGAGTTAATAAAAGTATTAGTCAGAGGGCTGAAGAGGGTTTGTCATATTAGATGAATTCTTTCTTTCTTTCAACACACTGGCCGTATCCCACCGAGGTGGTGGCCCAAAAGGAAAAACAAAAGTTTCTCCTTTCAAATTTAGTAATATATACAGGAGAAGGGGTTACTAGCCCCTTGCTCCCAGCATTTTAGTCACCTCTTACAACACGCATGGCTTACGGAGGAAGAATTCTGTTCCACTTCCCCATGGAGATAAGAGGAAATAAACAAGAACAAGAACTAGAAAGAAAATAGCAGAAAACCCAGAGGGGTATGTATATATATATGTTTGTACATGTATGTATAGTGTGACCTAAGTGTAAGTAGAAGTAGCAAGACATACCTGAAATCTTGCATGTTTATGAAACAGACAAAAGACACCAGCAATCCTACCATCATGTAAAACAATTACAGGCTTTCGTTTTACACTCACTTGGCAGGACGGTAGTACCTCCCTGGGCGGTTGCTGTCGACCAACCTACTACCTATAATTAGATGAATTGTGATAGATAAATAAGCCATAGAGTTGATATTAGTCTCATACTGAAGTATTATGTCCTGCCTCTCAAGAGCAGGAATTCTGCTGGAATAGATTAATGGCATTTCAATTAATTTGAATGAGGAAAATTCATTTGATATATGAGCAAATTGATTTATGAGCTAGGTCACAGAACGGATTAAACTTGTAAGTCGAGGTTCCACTGTATTTGCTACAGAGCACAATCTTTACTCATTAGGAGAGTAGTGTTAAATGTTCAGCACTGTAAACACAACTACTCACCCCATTCATTATCTTCATGGACTACCTCTTCTTCTTTCACTTCCTGCTTTTCTATCTTAGGCTCAGAAGCTTTCTTTGCTGCATATTCTGCTTGCCTTCTCCGACACCATGAGTCTTCACACTGGGGGTTCGGCTTGACAGACATGGCTGGGAAGAAGTCCAGCAGTGCATTGTAACCCAAGTAGTAAGACACTTCACCAAAATTAAGAAGGAACCTAGGAATGAAAAAGATAAAATTAATATCGTAATTATTGTAAAGCTATATCACCAAGAAAATAATTACAATATTTTACTTAATGTAAGAATGCATATCAAGAAAATAACAACACATTTATAACAAATATGTTTTGTATATGCAAGTACAGGTCTCCCTCAACATTCACGTTTTCAACTTTCACGGGCTTCACACATTCGCGAATTCCCAACCGCCAAATTCCCAGCCACCAAATTCCCAGCCGCCAAATCATATTTAAGTTTCCCACCACCTGTGAGTCCCTACAACCCTCCCTCCGACTCCTGCAACTGGCAGCCAGCCTTCCCACCACTCAGTGTGGTGAGTGTTTTGTTTGTTCATTATTTGCTATTAAACTACAGTATAAATAATGTAAACCCATTCATGACTGCATATTGGAATGGCTATTCGGACAGGTATTAGACGGTGACATCATGTGTTTACTCTCGAACACTGCAAAGAATTAAACATTTCTGCTACAGCTAATAATAACAATAGTAATAATAATAATAATAATAATAATATTAATTAATAATAATAATAATAAATATGATATATGTAATTGAAGAAGGAAATTGTACAAAAATACGAGGGAGTGGTTGACACATCGTCAGTGTGACTTTGTTTATGCTGGAGTGAACATTAGTCTCCCTGCTCTTCCAAACATTTCACAATAATTCATTGTGTTTGGTGCTTGTAGATTGAGTGTGACTGGAGTGGTAGAGGCAGTGATTGAGGCAATGGTATTTAATAACATACATGTTAATAATAATACATGTTATTAATAATATGTACTATTATTATTTATAACATATATGTTATTAAATACATACATGTAATAATAATACATGTTATTAATAATAACATGTACTATTATTATTTATAACATATATGTTATTAAATACCACTGCCTCAACCTCTGAATTATTGTGAAATGTTTGGAAGAGCAGGGAGACTAATGTTCACTCCAGCATGAACAAAGTCACACTGACGATGTGTCACCCACTCCCTCGTATTTTTGTACAATTTCCTTCTTCAATTATATCATATTTATTATTATTATTATTATTATTATTATTATTATTATTAGCAATAGCAGAAATGTTTGATTCTTTGCTGTGTCCAAGAGTAAACACATGATGTCACCGTCTAATACCTTTTCTAATAGCCATTCCAATATGCAGTCATGAATGGGTTTACATTATTTATACTGTAGTTTAATAGCAAATAATGAACAAACAAAACACTCACCACACTGAGTGGTGGGAAGGCTGGCTGCCAGTTGCGGGGGTCGGTGGGAGGGTAGTAGGGATTCGCAGTGGTGGAGGCATTGGTGGAGTCTGTGGTATTTAATAACATACATGTTATTAACCCTTTGAGGGTCGACAGGCCCTCTCCGAAACTCGTTCTCAGGGTCGGCCAAATTTAAAAAAAAAAAAAATTATTTTCTCTTATGAAAAGATAGAGAATCTTTTCCCGATCATAAAGACACCAAAAGTTTGAAATTTGATAGAAAACTTATGGAATTATGCTCTCGCAAAGTTAGCGGTCTCGGCGATGTTTACGCATCGGCGATTTTGCCCACTTTGAGCCCCATTTTCGGCCAATTTCACTGTACTAGTCGACAAAAAACATGAATATTTCGCTAGAACTCCATTTTTTCTATCGAATGGGTGCAAGAAACCACCCATTTATGAAATTCAACTATCCAGTACAGTGGTCAGAATTTAGCAATTTTGCCAATTTCACACAAATTTCAAAAGATGCCAATTTCCGAATAGGGTCCAGAATAAAACAAGAAAGACATTCCTGGCAATAAAATGACATTTCCTCTAGTCATTAGTCACGTCTCAAGGCCCCTCTTATATTCTTTTGCTTTCCACTTTGAATTTTTATTCTCACAAAAAATATAAGATTTACTGTTATGCAGACTACTGCATTAGTGTAAAAAAATGGTATAAATATTATTGGTACACTTGTGAAAGAATATTAGACTCACCAGTTGACGTGTATTGCACGCTTGGCACGATTTGTTTACTTTTGAAGTTTGGTAAAAATCGAACATTTCTGCTACTTTGAGCTCAATTTCAAGGCACCTTTCATTGTAAAACCAGTCAAAATCATCTCAATTTCTGTAATATGTCTTCCATTCTATAAAATGAGACCAAGAAAACTAGAATACAACAATAAAAAACCAATACGAAAATACACTGCAAAGTCGCTGATTTATTCCAAAAAAATGGTCAAAGTTTTTTTTTCTCATTAAATGCACTGTGTACTGCAGGATTTTTTTTAGACTGTGCACACTGACCACATAGACCCATTCTTTCATATGAAGGCCTACCAGCTTTCTCCCACTAGATTTGAGGCCGCTAGAATTTATGAGTACTAGTACGTCAAAAACCCCTACGCGTAAGACGTACTAGTACGACCAAAACCCTCAAAGGGTTAAATAACATACGTTATTAAAGCATAACATGTATATATTTAGTACAATTTACGACGTTTTCATGTATTTTATGATTATTCATGGTTCAACAAGTTATGGAAGCAGTATTGTAATATATTTCCCTACAATATATTGGGGCACCAAACATTCACGGTTTTTCAACATTCGCGAGGCTCTTGATCCCCTAACCCTCGCGAATGTTGAGGGAGACCTGTAGACTAGCCTTGGTAGTAGATGTACTACTCTGGAATAGCCTATCCACTAGACCTAAGTATTCTATATTTTATTGTATACATGTATTACAAACTACTAGTCAGCCTCAGTCATAAATCAAGAAGTATAATTTGGGAACTAAAAATCAGTTGTTTACAGCCCCTACTGAATGTAAAGTATACTTTCAATTCCCTCAAAAATAGCAAATTTTTAAACTTGAAGCAATTAGAATTTTTTCACTGATTTTCTCTTAATAATTTAAGAAGAAAAAGAAAGTCAATATGAATAGAAATGCAGTAGAACAAAACTCACTTAAGTACATTCTGTACCAACAAGCCAGCAACAATACCCATGGTGGTAGGCAAGGAAGCAGCGCATACACCTTCCCGCTTCAGGGTGCGTTCATCAATTTGACTGGCAACAACCAGAGGTGGTGCACACTGCAAAGTAAAAACATTTTGAGTTGCATTTAGTGTAACTTAAAAATGCACAATTTAGATGTGTACTGTGTTTCAAATACACCTACCATCTGACTTACGACCGAGTTCGGTTCCGAGAAACCGGTCGTAAGTCGAAATGGACGTAAGTCGAACTTTACTACTGAATATCAACATAACTGATATATCGGATCATTATTTAGTTGTAGCTACAGTTAGAGTAAGAGGTAGATGGGAAAAGAGGAAGGTGGCAAGAACAAGTAAGAGAGAGGTGAAAGTGTATAAACTAAGGGAGGAGGAAGTTCGGGTGAGATATAAGCGACTATTGGCAGAAAGGTGGGCTAGTGCAAAGATGAGTAGTGGGGGGGTTGAAGAGGGTTGGAATAGTTTTAAAAATGCAGTATTAGAATGTGGGGCAGAAGTTTGTGGTTATAGGAGGGTGGGGGCAGGAGGAAAGAGGAGTGATTGGTGGAATGATGAAGTAAAGGGTGTGATAAAAGAGAAAAAGGTAGCTTATGAGAGGTTTTTACAAAGCAGAAGTGTTATAAGAAGAGCAGAGTATATGGAGAGTAAAAGAAAGGTAAAGAGAGTGGTGAGAGAGTGCAAAAGGAGAGCAGATGATAGAGTGGGAGAGGCACTGTCAAGAAGTTTTAATGAAAATAAGAAAAAATTTTGGAGTGAGTTAAACAAGTTAAGAAAGCCTAGGAAAGTATGGATTTGTCAGTTAAAAACAGAGTAGGGGAGTTAGTAGATGGGAGATGGAGGTATTAGGTAGATGGCGAGAATATTTTGAGGAACTTTTAAATGTTAAGGAAGAAACTGAGGCAGTAATTTCATGCACTGGTCAGGGAGGTATACCATCTTTTAGGAGTGAAGAAGAGCAGAATGTAAGTGTGGAGGAGGTACGTGAGGCATTACGTAAAATGAAAGGGGGTAAAGCAGCTGGAACTGATGGGATCATGACAGAAATGTTAAAAGCAGGGGGGGATATAGTGTTGGAGTGGTTGGTACTTTTGTTTAATAAATGTATGAAAGAGGGGAAGGTACCTAGAGATTGGCAGAGAGCATGTATAGTCCTTTTATATAAAGGGAAAGGGGATAAAAGAGACTGTAAAAATTATAGAGGAATAAGTTTACTGAGTATACCAGGAAAAGTGTACGGTAGGGTTATAATTGAAAGAATTAGAGGTAAGACAAAATGTAGGATTGCGAATGAGCAAGGAGGTTTCAGAGTGGGTAGGGGATGTGTAGATCAAGTGTTTACATTGAAGCATATATGTGAACAGTATTTAGATAAAGGTAGGGAAGTTTTTATTGCATTTATGGATTTAGAAAAGGCATATGATAGAGTGGATAGAGAAGCAATGTGGCAGATGTTGCAAGTACACTGGACCCCCGGTTAACAATGTTTTTTTAATTCCAGAAGTATGTTCAGGTGCCAGTTCTGACCGAATTTGTTCCCATAAGGAACATTGTGAAGCAGGTTAGTCCATTTCCGACCCCCAATCATACACGTACAAACGCACTTACATAAATACACTTACATAATTGGTCGCATTGGGAGGTGATCGTTAAGCGGGGGTCCACTGTATATGGAATAGGTGGTAAGTTATTAAATGCTGTAAAGAGTTGTTATGAGGATAGTGAGGCTCAAGTTAGGGTGTGTAGAAGAGAGGGAGACTACTTCCCGGTAAAAGTAGGTCTTAGACAGGGATGTGTAATGTCACCATGGTTGTTTAATATATTTATAGATGGGGTTGTAAAGGAAGTAAATGCTAGGGTGTTCGGGAGAGGGGTGGGATTAAATTTTGGGGAATCAAATTCAAAATGGGAATTGACACAGTTACTTTTTGCTGATGATACTGTGCTTATGGGAGATTCTAAAGAAAAATTGCAAAGGTTAGTGGATGAGTTTGGAATGTGTGTAAAGGTAGAAAGTTGAAAGTGAACATAGAAAAGAGTAAGGTGATGAGGGTGTCAAATGATTTAGATAAAGAAAAATTGGATATCAAATTGGGGAGGAGGAGTATGAAGAAGTGAATGTTTTCAGATACTTGGGAGTTGACGTGTTGGCGGATGGATTTATGAAGGATGAGGTTAATCATAGAATTGATGAGGGAAAAAAGGTGAGTGGTGCGTTGAGGTATATGTGGAGTCAAAAACGTTATCTATGGAGGCAAAGAAGGGAATGTATGAAAGTATAGTAGTACCAACACTCTTATATGGGTGTGAAGCTTGGGTGGTAAATGCAGCAGCGAGGAGACAGTTGGAGGCAGTGGAGATGTCCTGTTTAAGGCAGTGTGTGGTGTAAATATTATGCAGAAAATTCGGAGTGTGGAAATTAGGAAAAGGTGTGAGTTAATAAAAGTATTAGTCAGAGGGCAGAAGAGGGGTTGTTGAGGTGGTTTGGTCATTTAGAGAGAATGGATCAAAGTAGAATGACATGGAAAGCATATAAATCTATAGGGGAAGGAAGGCGGGGTAGGGGTCGTCCTCAAAAGGGTTGGAGAGAGGGGGTAAAGGAGGTTTGTTGTGGCAAGGGGCTTGGACTTCCAGCAAGCGTGCATGAGCGTGTTAGATAGGAGTGAATGGAGATGAAGGGTACTTGGGACCTGACGATCTGTTGGAGTGTGAGCAGGGTAATATTTAGTGAAGGGATTCAGGGAAACCGGTTATTTTCATATAGTCGGACTTGAGTCCTGGAAATGGGAAGTACAATGCCTGCACTTTAAAGAAGGGGTTTGGGATATTGGCAGTTTGGAGGGATATGTTGTGTATCTTTATATGTGTATGCTTCTAAAATGTCGTACATGTATTCTGAGCACCTCTGCAAAAACAGTGATAATGTGCGAGTGTGGTGAAAGTGTTGAATGATAATGAAAGTATTTTCTTTTTGGGGATTTTCTTTCTTTTTTTTGGGTCACCCTGCCTCGGTGGGAGACAGCCGACTTGTTGAAAAAAAAAAAAAAAATTTGTAATGGCTTTATTTTGTTGTTTTACAGTGGACCCTCGACCAGCGATATTAATCCGTTCCTGAGAGCTCATCGTTAATCGAAATTATCGTTAGTCGAGTTAATTTTCCCCATAAGAAATAATGGAAATCAAATTTATCCGTGCAAGACACCCAAAAGTATTGAAACAAAAATTTTTTACCACATGAAATATTAATTTTAATACACACAAACTGAAGAAGACATGCACAGTTACATGACACTTACCTTTATTGAAGATCTGGTGATGATTGATGGGATGGGAGTAGGGGATAGTGTTGATGGTGTTAGTGTTTAGAAGGGGAATCCCCTTCCATTAGGACTTGAGGTGGCAAGTCCTTTTTCGGGGTTACTTCCCTTCTTCTTTTAATGCCACTAGGACCAGCTTGAGAGTCACTGGACCTCTGTCACACAACATATCTATCCATAGAGGCCTATACCTCCCGTTCCTTTATGACATTCCTAGTGTTTCACAACACTGTCAGTGTCACAATTAAACACTTGTTCAGGTTTCAATTCTTCACTGTCTATGTACTCCTTGAATTCCTGCACATATTTTTCAGCTGCTTTTTGGTCCAAACTGGCAGCCTCACCATGCCTTATCACACTATGTATGCCACTACGATTCTTAAATCTCTCAAACCAACCTTTGCTGGCCTTAAATTCACTCACATCACCACTAGTTGCTGGCATTTTTCTAATTAAATCCTCATGCAACTTCCTAGCCTTTTCACATATGATCGCTTGAGAGATGCTATCTCCTGCTATCTGTTTTTCGTTTATCCACACCAATAACAGTCTCCCAACATCTTCTATCACTTGCGATCTCAGTTTCGAAAACATAGTTGCACCTTTGGCAAGAACAGCTTCCTTGATTGCCGTTTTCTTGGCCACAATAGTAGTGATGGTTGATTGGAGTTTTGTGTACAACCTGGCCAGCTCGAAGACACGCACTCCACTTTCATACTTAGCAATGATCTCTTTCTTCATATCCATAGTAATTCTCACCCTTTTTGCTGTAGGGTTGGCACTAGAAGCTTTTTTGGGGCCCATGGTGACTTATTTTGCAGGTGCAATCACTAAAAAGGCTGTGATAATATGAAATGTTCCGATTGTATGCTTGGAAGCAACCGTGGTGACTGGATGGCTTGTAAACACTGGCCAGAAGTGGACGCGTCTCAGACGGAATGAATAGTGTTGGTCGAGTTTTTTAGCGCTAGTCGAGGCAAAATTTTTGCGTTAAAATGTATCACTGGTCGGATTTAACATTAGTCGATGCCATCGTTGGTCGAGGGTCCACTGTATTTTGGTATTTCATGTTTTACTTTACTTTTTATGCTGTTAGTACTGTATTTTATACTGAAAGGTTTTGGATAAACACTGTGTACAACAGAAACACTTGTTTATTTCCCAGAAATTTGGCATAAAAAACACGGTCGTAAGTCGAGTCGTCGTATGTCGAGCAGGTCGTAAGTCGGATGGTAGGTGTACTACTACATTAACCCTTTCAGTGTCGGTCCCATAGTATTATGGCTCGAGAGCCAGTGTCGGTCCCGTAATACTCTGCCAAAATTCTAGCACCTTCAAATCAAGCAGGAGAAAGCTGGTAGGCCTACATCTGCGTGGTCAGTGTGCGCAGTATGAAAAAAATCGGGGCACCCGCATTGCACTGTGGGAGTGCTAATTCAGTATGCCTTGGTCACCAAGCCTAGTAGTAAGGAATACCTCACTCTGGCAAATTGGGACTCTTCCCTTCCCAAGTGATAGTTCTAACACAGATTGAAGTGTCAGTGAAGATAAATCTCATGGTTTTGAGGAGTTTGTGACAGAAATAGTGCTGAAAACCCAGACGATTTTCAACCTTCCACCAAAAAAGTCAAAGTGACTTATTTCCATGTAGGTGGTGAGGAAGACAGCATGGGTGGTGGGGAAGGCTGCATCAGTGGTGGGGAAGACAGCGTGGGTTTGTGTAAACATGTTTTGTCAACAATATAATGATAACAATGTTTGTGT